AGATAGACAGAAAGACAGATAGACAGATGGACAGATAGACAGATAGACAGGTAGAGATATACAGATAGATAGATAGACAGATAGACAGATAGACAGATGGACAGATAGACAGATAGACAGATAGACAGATAGACAGATAGACAGATTGACAGATAGACAGATAGACATATAGACAGATAGACTGATAGACAGTAAAAGAGTATGATAAGCAGACAAGTATTAAGTAGTCAAGTATGCAATTAGACGAACCATCATCAAAACTTTCACAAAAACAATGTCCATCTCTAGTATGATCCAAAACTTCAGTCAAAAACTTTCACTTTTTTTAAGTACGTACATAAGGTTTTTAATTTAAATACTATACTTAAGATACAAAGTTTGTTTAAAAAACAGTTTTTTACCAAGATTTTGTTTTCCGGTTAATTAATACGGAAAAAAAAACAGTTCTTAAAAACAAATAATTTAACAACCATAAAAACGATAGATTCCAGCTGGAATAGGGTCAAAGATAAAATATTCAGCTTAAGGTAGTAAAAAATTCGTTTGAAAATAAAATAAAATCTAGACTCAACATTAACTACTTTTTGTTTTTAAAATTGTATAAAATGTCATGCTTGAACATTTTTATGATTTTATTGAATAAGAGGGGGGGGGGAATATTATGAGTTTGATTCAAAGGAACTCCCACGCCCCTTTATACAAGAGGGTGGAGTCGTGTTTGTATTGTTTAGATATATTTATTATTCCTATAAACGATCTTATCGATCTTTGCATTGTGTCCGGGAAATTCGAGTTTTTTATTTTTAATATTTCAATAAATCCGAATTATTAATTTACCTTCCCTGATGGAAATATCTTAAATAAGTTAAAGATAATTTGTTCCTTAAAAATTCAACTATCCAATTCCTGCTGAATGAAGGGGGGGGGGGATTTTAGACGCCCTTCCACCCAATATATTTTTTGCTATCACTGTATATAGTCTCTGTAAAAGTAAGGTTTTTCTTCTTCAGTCTAGTTTCTTAGACATACTGCCGGAATTTTTCTTTTTTTCTATGTAATTTCAAATATCGATTTAGAGCCACTGTCTGGATATTTTATATCAACATTGTACAATGTACAGCTCTTTGGAAGAGGAAATATAAAGGAATTGAGTCTTTGAAACAAAATATAAATTTTCTATTTTCTATTTTCTATATTTTTGCAACTAAATGTCTTAGACATTAGTTATATAAAACTATGAATTTTTTATATCAAATACTCTAAGTTTGAAATATCGAAGGCTTATACAATTAGGTTGCAAAGATAATGGAATTAAAATATTTGATTTTGTAACTTACTTCCGTTGACACACATTTGTAAAACTATAGGCAGAGCCGTCTGGGGCTGGTAAAGACGACATTACGGGGGGTGTATATTTTTCTTGATATAAATGAAACTATTTAATTCCGCTGCCTTTCCAAATTTTATTGGTGACTACCGAGGATTTTATATTAGTAGTATTGCTAATTATAAAACTAAAAAAGAAAATAACTGTGAAGCTGAATATTCAGGAAAAGCAAGCATTGCGCAAGTTATTGCGAATGAAAATCCTAATTCATACAGTTTATTAGAAATTAATAAATCACTAAAATATTCTCTGAAAGCTGTTAATAAACGATTAAATTAAGTTAATAACTTTCCTAACTTTTTAAAGAATTACTTCCAAATTTGTTTTATTGAGGTAAATTTAACTATTCATTCATTCATTCATTCTCAGTTATCCATTGACAGGTAGTTTATACTTTAGGGTTTGGTTAAACGGCATTAATGCCGCAATTTAGCATATATGGGTTGGGTGGTTATGTTGGGTTGTGGAATGGGGGGGGTGGGTTTATGTGATGTGTGTATAGACAGGGGAGGGGAAGAGGATTATATGGGAAGGGTAGAGGAGTATATGGGAAGGGATAGAGGAGTATATGGGAAGGATAGAGGAGTATATGGGAAAAGTGGAGGAGTATATGGGAAGGGTAGAGGAGTATATGGGAAGGGTAGAGGATTATATGGGAAGTGATAGAGGAGTATATGGGAAGGGTAGAGTAGTATATGGGAAGGGTGGAGGAGTATATGGGAAGGGTAGAGGATTATATGGGAAGGGTAGAGGATTATATGGGAAGTGTAGAGGAGTAAATGGGAAGGGTGGAGGAGTTTATGAGAAGGGTAGAGGATTATATGGGAAGGGTAGAGGATTATATGGGAAGGGTAGAGGAGTAAATGGGAAGGGTAGAGGAGTATATGGGAAGGGTGGAGGAGTATATGGGAAGGGTGGAGGAGTATATGGGAAGGTTGGAGTGTGATAAATATCCGGTCACATGATATTCAGTAAGCTTGCAGTACATTGTACATTATTAATTATCTATGTTTGTAAACTTCTACGGTAAAATCATTATTCATTTGAACTGCATTTCAAATAAATACATAGCATGGTTAGCAAACCCTTTTTAATATGTACATAAAACTTATAAATATGTGTGGAGATAGCTTAACTACGTTATATCTATCTTGGCTAATCCTGTAAATACGCACATCTTAAATGCGCCTATTTCAACTGTGCTGTAATATGTAACATGTGATATAAATAACAACGTAGGAATTGTAATTACGTCTATTAACTTTAACCTGTGGCATATAAACCTCAAATACAATTAGTTAGAATAAGAACTCCGCTTTGATTATAGTGTAGAGTAATTGGACCCCGAATTAGGTATTTGGGTTGAGATCCTACCTCAGTATAAGTAGAGATTGATTAAGGGCTTGATAGATAGCCAATGCGTGTGTCTTTTGTGGCATTTAGAGCCAAAGTAAAAGCTTGATTGATAAGCTACGCCTGTGTCCGGTGTGGCATTTAGAGCCGGAGTAATAGCTTGATTGATAGCTATTTGTGTGTCCCTGTGTGGCATTTAGAGCTAGGTGGGTTGTATCCTAGTCAATAATAGCTTGTTGGATAGCTAGGCTTGTGTCCCTGGTTTGGCATTTAGAGCCAGGTGGGTTGTGTCCTGGTTGACTTGGATAGCGGACGAGTGGTACCTGGACTGATACTGTTTGGCACGAACTTTTAAGAGTACGGCATTTCTTACAGGAGTAGGTCTAGGAATATTAAGATTGTAAGATGACACCTTGTAACAAATACTATGCTAGAGTATATTGCTAATCTAACCGACAGACTTTTATATTTTCCTTCTAAACATGTTTAATAGTAGCCATCATCAAACATACAGAACACCAGTTTTATTTCATATACTCCTTTTAAAGGGACTGTAAGCGTAACTTCAAGTAAACCTTCATTTAAATATGGCAATGCCCGATTTACAACGCTACCCTCAAAAATTTTGTCTGATGAAATTCAAATATGAATAAGAATCAATGTTTATAATTTTGAAAACTAATTAATATTTTCAATTGTGGTTACTCTACAAAAGTGATCAAAAAACGACAATATCTTCCTCATTATTGATCAGCTAAGGTTTCCAAGGTACTTGCATGAAGGGTCAATTTCACACATTTTCTATGCTTTCAGAAGAACTATTGAGTAGATGCAAATAAATTGTTATTCTCATACTTCAGCATAAGATGAAAGCTATACAGGAGTTATGATACTGGTAACTTTGCATAAATGTTGGCCTTTTCCCTATGTAAATGATGAATTCAGTACTAAGCAGTAGAAAAAGGCATTATCTCTACTGCTTATTTCAAATGTCCCAACCATTTGAAGAGTCTATTTTTCTGAAGTTGCATTAAAAGAATATCGTCGTTAATTTCCTCTTCTAAAGCATAAGAATGAGTGTAAGCATAAGAAAGTCACTTACAGAGAGTTAAGGGCAGTTTAAATTGCATCCTGCGACCGACGGGTTTACCGACGCTCTAGCACCCTCATACGTGACCCAATTGAAAGTAATACAGTTTAGCAAGACAAAAAAAAGAATATCTCATTCATCGGACAAGAGTAAAAGGGAACCATTGTCAATCAAACATACCTCTCCGTCAAGTTTAAGGATTAGGATGCATCTACAATTTGGTGCTTTCATAAGTCTGTACATATTTTGTTTGTGCATAGACCGTATACGCAAATCCTGAAATATGTGCGTAGACAACTCCGAAAATATGTCATCAAATGTTTATACAGCCTCGGCTTTGAAGTGTCGCCACGCCTTGGCCTTTTGCTTTATACCTCCCCAACTCAATCATACTTTGCTGTAGTCCTAGGTAAATGCAATACTCTTTTGCTTTATACCTCCTTAACTCAATCATACTTTGCTGTAGTCCTAGGTAAATGCAATACTCTTGTATCTTGTTTAAGTTTAAAAGGAGTAATTAGCAAAAAAAAAAAATTTTGCGTGAGAGCGTCCCAATATTTTTTGTAGTGATAAATATACACAATATACAATATAAATCAAGTGTATTAATACCACCGTCCACATTACCTTACCACATTACCATTTCTACGAAATTTTTACAAAATTATGCAAAACAGCCTGGGAAAAATCTGACTTTAATCGTATTTATATTTCAGCTGTAAATGTAAATGTCAGGAATAATTCTAAAATTTTACAGGTTTCGAATTTAAGCATTAAAGGTGAAGATTGCAAAACTAAGATTGCATAAAATATCTCATCAAATACCAAGAAGACCTACTTAACGACTCTCTTTCTTTCTGGGAATTTACGCTTAATTTCAACCCTTTCTAAGCCTGATTTCGACCCATTCTTGCTAAAACCCATCTTGCCTAAATCCTTCACAACATATTAGTCTTAAAACCAGCTTTTCCGTGAAGTTTTTTTTTGTTAAAAGGTATCAAAATTGCATTTAATTTAGTTTTTATTTAACTTTGTACAAATTCACAAAACAAAGAGAATTGGAATTATTTTTTGCTTGATAGTATAAATAAAGGAAAGTTGTAGAGTAAACACTGTCAAACTTTAATTTTTATTCGACAAATTTGAATCAGAAAATCAAGAATTACTTACAGTTTCTTGGTATTGGTAGGAATACCACGAGGTATGTGTAAGTTCTCTTTATGACACCTGGAATAAAAAAGTTTAGCCAAAAAAACATACAAATAATCTAAAACAATTTGAAACATAAAAAACCGGAAACAATAAAGATTCAACAAATAAAAGAAAATTATATTAACCCTTATAAAAGCTCTCTAGGTTCTAAATGTATGTCCCAAAAAAAGGTTTCCAAAGTCAAGAAGTTTGATTAAAATAATTATTGTCAACTATTAGAAACAAGATTTGCCTAGTTACGGTTTTAAACATAAAACATAACAAAAAAATTTAAATAACAAAATATTTATATTTACAAGATCTACAAACAACCAATAATAAAATCAATTTACAAACTGCCAAGCAATCTTATTTTATAAATTATTCAAATAAAAGTCAAATGCTCAAAAATCTCGGCATCAAACATTCATACTAAGCAAATAAATCAACTGCATTTAATTGAGATCAAATCAATTTATGATCAACTAGATCAAAGATTTTCCTTTCAACAAATAAATTTAAAAAGCGATAAATTTTTGGTAAATAACTAGAAAATAGAAGACCGACGAATCAAATAACAGGTCAAATAATTAATTGAATTAATTAATTGAATTAATTAATTGAACAATAATTGACTTAACCTATCGATTAATTAATTAAGAAAGGTAACCTGACTGTGTCTGAGTAACAAGAACATGAAGATGGACAAAATCCAACAAATTTGGATTCAACATTTTCAAAACTAAAATGAAAATATTTATAAATGCAAATTAAAGAGAATCTGGTCTTGATTTCAAGTGTACAATTTTTATAATGTTATGTCCATCGTCGGATTAACAACGGTACCCTTTAATACTTTATTAGAGTAACACTCAGAAAGATATCTTTGTCACTACGCCCAAAAATTACAAGTCACTTTTAATGAGACCCAGCTTTAAAAACAATCAAATTTCAGCAAAAAAAAATATTATATTCTTAATGTTTTGATACTTTTTAATTATGGAGGGCAAATAGATTTTCAAGGAGAATAGGTAGCAACAGAGAAATGGACCAACTCTACACGACGTCACAAGTGTCAAATATAGCAAGGAAAAAGGAAATTTTCTCACATTAGTTGACATGTTTTCTAATATTAAATAACAAAATGTAAAAACAGACAATAAAGAACACATAAAATTAAACTTGTTTTACTGTAAGATCTAAAATTATCATTATTATTAATAATTTTGTCGGGCATAAAAAAACTGAATTGACACTTGTGACGTCAGAATACAGCTGATACTGATTACAAGTACAAATTCCAAGTTGCCATCTACAGTACTAGAATCTGTTTGATGGAGGGTAACTTGAAACTACGTCTTCAGTCCCTTTAAGTTAAAACAGTGACATCTTCTTTAATTTTTTTTACAAACTGCTCCCCCCCCCTTTCTGTAGAATTCACAGTTGAAGAGTAATACGCTTATACATGTATGCAAATTTGTGTACAATTTATTCAATCAAATAAAAATGGGAAGAATGGAGATTTGTGTGGGAGTGGGGGGGGGAGGGTCTTTTGAAAAAGGGGTTGCATCATGGCTTGAAGGGAAAAAGGGGGTGGGGTGTTGTTGCATAGAATCTTTTTAGAACATTAATCAATCTCTATTTAGACAAATTAGTTTCGATGAAAAATGAGAAATTGCGGCAAAATTTTATTAAAATTTATTCTTCAGTTAAAATTAATGTTTTGTGGGATTTTAGCTAAAAATGAGATTTATGCAAACTTCATCAAAGGCTTGAAAAAAATATGTTACGGAGGGGAAGGCGGGAGGAGGTGAAGGGTAAATATTCTCTAAATCACTTTAAAAGATACGGTTTTTCAAATTATTCAAAACAATTGTTGACAACTCTGATATCAAATGAGTAATGTTCTTAAAATGTAAGAGGGAAAAAAATTATCATGTTCCCATTTTCTGATGACACATGTTGAAAAGTTTAAAAATCATTTTTAAAATGTAGCGATAATTTTTGGCAAACAAAACGTGAAAGAAATATGTAAACTGCCATTTGTTATCTTTTGTCTTCGCTTTACAATTTGCAAATGCAAAATTTAAACACAGGGCGAATACTTTAAGATAAATAAGCCTAATATTCAAACTGTCGGAGGGGTTGCCAAACAGAACCTAAAATATATTCAAAGAAACATTAATTTCTGATTCTCTGCTATGCATTGTTTACCTAAATGAACAGAAGGTAAATACGAATGTCCAAAAATAAATTTGGTAAGGTTTCATTTTTTCACTTCACATTGTTCACGTAATTTTATTTGCTCTCTTTTCACGTTTTTTGGACAAAATCTTGAAATTGGGCAAAACTTTAAATTCACATTATCATCATATACTGAAGTATAAGCCTTCGGACATCTTTGTGATGCACTCGGGCTCGGTCAAATATGAACTGAAGGCCCGAAAGAAAAGATATTACGTATCTGTTGCATGAGAGAAAGATGGGTATGTATCTACGTAGCGCTAAAAATCCTCGAACATGGGCTAGACTCGACGCAGCATTAATCCGGGAAAAGATAGTAAATATTTGTGTAATCCGCGAAACCCCACCTGTATGTTTGGGTTGGATACGCGCCGTGGGGGGTAGGAGGACGTAGGGTGGGGAACTAATAGGCATGGATGATCGAATACACCTACTTGAGTTGTATATATGGTAGATATGATACCATGAATAATACGTAATCAACTATTTAATTTACATTCCATTCCACGCTGTGGATTTTTTGCCATGAATTTATTCATCTATTACTTTGCTTTACTGTGTATTAAGATTATTTAATCCAATATTTAACTGAAGGGTTTAAAAAGAAAAACTGTATTCTTGAGAAAGTAAGCTTAACCCTATTCCACCCCCCCCCCAGCATATCCTGGTTTTCAAGTACCCAGCAGGGATAGGGTTAAAACATAAGGAAAAAACACTATCTTAAATTTAAAATTAAATATTTTCTTCTTTAGCAAGAAATACATATATAAAAGGGACTAATGTTGTAATTCTATGTGACCCTCCATTAAAATAGAAAGAAAAAAAAGACATGTCCGATTCACAACTGTACCCTTCAGAAACCTTTATCTGATCATAATGTGAAAGTTAAAAAGTGTTATATTATAACCATGGATTGGAAAATCCATAATTGATGCTACAAAGTTTTTACCGTTGTGAATTGAATATGACACTCTTTAAAGTGACAACTTTGACAGGTTACAATTGGCCAGTTGAAAACATTGCCAGGTGAAAACTTTGCCAGGTGACAACCTTGCCAGGTAGCAACTTTGCCAGATGACAACTCTGCCAAGTGACAACTCTGCCAAGTGACCACTTTGCCAGGTGACAACTTTGCCAGGTGACAACTTTGCCAGGTAGCAAATTTGCTAAGTGACAATTGTCTGTTGACCGTTGTGAATCGGACATGCCACTCTATAAAGTGACAATTTTGACAATTGGCAAGGTGACAACTTTGCAACGTGACATTTTTGCCAGGTGACTTCTAAGGTTGTTAATTGTTTATAAAAACGATTGAAAAAACGTTCGTTTCATTTTTTGCTTTTTTCCAAAAACGATCGTATCGTTTTTAGAAAAACGATGGATCACAACTAACGAACCATTCGTTTTGAACTTTTGAAAAACGAAAAAGGAAACAACGATGCAACCTTTTTTTTGGAAAACTATTGTTTTTTTAATTTACCTAATGAATATAATTTTTTTGACATATACTTTTTTTTACAGTGAGAAATGTTTATGAATGTCGATCTACATTGTTTTTTTTTATCGAGAGTTCTGGCCTAATATTTTTCTGATCTAAGGGTTTTCCGACCAAAAACTGTAATTTGTCTAGCACATTTAAGTAAGTATTTAAAAATGGCGATTTCAAAAATTAAGATTCATGTGTAATTGTGTACGTAAGTATCTTAATTTAAATCAAAATGGTTAAATTGCGAAAATTACCTTCTCAAAAATGCCTAAAGTAATTAATTGAATCATAGCAAATCGTAAATCCAGGCATAATTTTATACTTTGCCACAGGTGACAACAAGAAATACATTTATTTATCAAAATTATTAGATTGTGACACTTTGGGCTTGTACCGTAAATATTAATATATTTTTTCCATTATCTCTGACACACTAAGCACATGAAACTAAGCTAGTGGGGTAGGTAATATAGACCTATAATAGGCCAGGTGCTGTAAAAAGTCGGGTCGCGCCAACAAAGTTTAAACCGAGCCAGCATAGGATAGGGTCGGGCCGGTACTTTCCACGCGTCACTAAGGCTTGTACAAGGGGTCGGTCCGGTCCGAATTTAAATTGACCCTGGTCCACCGTGTAAGTGATTACTTCTGTACTTACTTCTATAGTACGCCCCAATGTAAAAATTGCCTAATCTGAGCCGGTACATCGTGAACTGTTTATGCATTCAGTCGTACTGTCCAGTCTGAGTCGACCCAGCACGTTTTATGCAACAAATCACAATGTGTAACCATCTTTTTTATCAAAAATGTATAAAAGCTATATGTGGTGTAGAAATAAATTTATTTGCTTTTATTTTTCCAAACTGAGATTAGTTTAAGATTTTTCTCGTCTTTAGTTTCCTTTTGTTTGCCTTTACACTTTACCTTATCAATTTCAAAAGTGTGTTTGTTTGCAAACACTAAACATTTAACACCCATACTTATGTATTATAAGGTAAACAACAGTATTGTATATATTTGAGCGAAGAGCTTTATTATAAAGATTTCAACATTGATAATAATAAGAGATATATAAAAAATCCTCGAAAAACTTGTAATTCGTAAAAAGCTTGGCAACAATTTAAATTTAAATAAAAAGTCGTCTTCATTACATTAATATAATCGCCTACCACCGTATTAAAATTATTTTTCCATATTCTAATTTCGTAAGATATACAATACATTTTTTATGGGTCCGGGAATTTCCGTTTTACACCCTTATATCTTTTCTAATTCTCAGAAAAATGTTGGATTTGCATAAAAGTGATTTCATCTAATTTCGGACAACGAATTTTCAAAGTCTGCTAAATAGCTAACAAAGAAATATTATTTTATATTGTGACATGAAGAGATTTTAATTTTGAAGTCTACAAATTATTAGACTGAAAAGTTGGAATTCATTTGATGTTAATCCGCAAATCCATTCCTTTTGGAGACGCTTTCATAATTCCTTTAACTTTTCCTATACTGTCAACTCGGTGGTAACTCTTTAATCCCTCTCCCGTACCTACCCTTTACTGTACTTACCCCCCTCCCTTACCATCTCTCTTATCCCCCCCTTCCCCCTGTGCCCTATAGTGTTTACAAAACCACAAATATGACATAGAGACAAGATGACAGTTCACATATGTATCTGTATAAACATACAACCTAACTTATGCCAACTTATGCCCCCCTCCTTCTAACAACTGTTAGCCGTCTTAACGCTTTGAAAATCCACAAATTAAATCCGAAAATCAGCAAAAAACTTACTAAATATTGCTTAATAATGTATATCGCGAAAATGCTTCTTGGTGGAAGTAAAACAAAAGTTAATAACAGAATATTCAAGTTCAGAAAGAGAGAGAAACTAGGGTTTGCCGCAAAAAGGAAAAATCATTTCGCGAAAATTTCTCGAAAAAAAGAAATTTTTAATTGACTGGCTCATAGTCATGGGTAATCGTATATGGACGGACAGAAACTTAGCTAAAGAAATC